GGGATGTGGCTCAAGCGGTAACGTGCTCGCCTGGCATGTGCGAGGCACTGGGTTCAATCCTCAGCACCACATAAAATAAAGATGTCCACCGAAAACTGAAAAATAAATATTAAAAAAATTCTTTAAAAAAATGCTGAGGACAGATACCAAGGAAGCTGAGACTGACAGGTTCTCAGGCTAACTAAACTTGCCTATGTATATTTCCTGCCTTTTGTCCCGCTTTGCCTCCTCTTCTCATAAAAGCTTTCCTCACCCAACAGCCTCCTGAAGATGGTAATTTGAGTCAGAAAATTTCCTTAAAAGTTGGCTTTGATTAAACCTATTTTCTTGCCAATCTGAGTCCTGATTATTTTCTTAGCAGCCCTGCCCAGGGACCTTGCCTAGATCCCTGCTGGCTGAATTTGGCTGCACACCTTGGTAAGAAGTAGACAAAAAAAAAAAAGTTAAAATGGAAGTTTTGTAGTGGAAGAACAGCTAGATTGCTTCTCCCCACAGGTCCCACAAAAGCAGTTACAATTTATGTGAACAAAAGTAAAAGCCATGTGATACATATACGTGTGTGTGTGTGTGTGTGTGTGTGTGTATATATATATATATATTTTTTGTTGTTGTTAGTCAACCTGAAGTGGGGAGTGAAATGGGACAAAAGGCAGAAAATGCCAATATGCAGATTTAGCCTGTGTTAGGCCAGGGCAGGGGCAATTTTTGTTTTCAGCTTTCTTGGCTTTGCTATGCTTCTATTCTCAGCCTGAGGAGGTTGTGTTTTGTTTGTTTTTGGTACCAGGGATTGAACCCAGGGGCACTTAACCTCTAAGCCACATTCCCCAGCCCTTTTTATATTTTCATTTTGAGACAGGGTCTCACCAAATTGCTTAGGGCCTTATTAAGTGTCTGAGGCTGGGTTTGAACTTGTGATCCTCCTGCCTCAGTCTCCCAAACCACTGGGATTACAGGCCCCGTGAGGAGGTTCTTAATTTTAGAGGGGCCCTCTAATTTCAGTCCCTTTCAGTATTTGTGGAGTATGTTGATGGATAAAGCCTAACCTCTTGTGTACCTAGTATAACAGAAATTCTCAAATCTGCATCAGAAACATCAGACATGATGGGTTTTTGGTTTTTGTTTTTGATACCAGCATGTTTATTTGCTCTGAGTCATGTTATTAGAAACAGAAACCAGTGCTGAAGCCCCTAAGGTTCTGAGCACTGCCCACTGCACCAATAGCAGGACCAACTGACTACCTGGGTGGGCTCAGTACCACACACACCAGGCAGGCTTGAGCTCAATTCAGGACAAGAGCCTCCTAGGGAATAGGCTTTGCTGTGAGTGGTGCACCATCCAGAGGTTGTAGTCCAGGGCACTGAGGCTGCTCCATCAGCCTAGGTCCACCTCCATTGCAATTCCCATGTTCCCTTTAGTGGTTGCAAAGTGGCGGCTCTGCTCCTGGGTGTTGCATCAACCTCTGGGTGTGTGTGTGGGGGGAGTCTGCAAGTGGTGGGTGCACTAGGTCTGTCCCTCTACCAGCTGTGTTATCAGGCCAGTGACTTACCCCCATCTACTCAGAGTCCACATGGCCAGGATGGGGATAACTTAAGGCCCAGGCTTGCAGAAGGCCATGGCAGGCCTGGCACATGCTGACTTTCCAAGGATCAGCTGTCACCTAGCTGGAAACAATCCTGGACACTCCTGTGACAGCAGGTTCTGAGGGGACTCACTGCGCACCACCTCAAACCAAGGCCAGGATGATAGCTGAGAGTACGCAGGGCCACAGACCCATGCGTGGTTCTCCTCTGCAGGCTCCAACATGTCATGCTCCTCCATGGGTCCTCACACATAGCACTGTCACACCTCTGCTCTCATCACTTCACCTGTGTTCCAGATGTTTCTCTGACACAGCCATGTGCAGGCCAAGTGCCAGAATCACCAGAGCAATAATGGCAGCCTGCTCCACGCAGGATACTGCCCAGCTTGCGGTGAATGCACCTGAAGACACCAGGAGGCCCATTCAGTGGCAGAACTGCAGCACTGCTCCAGTTGATAGAGGAGACCGTGAAGCAGGCTCAGGCTACCACAGGCTGGCAACGGTCATCTCTATGAGGCTTACTGAGCTCTGCCACTGCCCATCCCTTGCGTGAGGCAGTCCACCCCCCTGGCTATGCAGAGGTGCCCCCTCCTTCCTGCTACCTGTAGCACTCCCAGGACTGCATGCAGGCCTTGTGAGGTGCTGTGCTGGGTCTTTCCTTGCCTGCCCATAGTGGCCCTGGACTCACAGCTCACCAGCACATCGCTCACATATCACACAGCACTGTCCAGTCAGTGGTACTGACACTGGATCTTGTGGTCTGAACACAACCTGAGAGGACACCCAAAATTAGATGGTGACAGGTTCTGCACCCTGCAAGGTCTTTGTCTTCTGGTCTGGTCCCAGATATGATTGCAGCTGGGTCCTGAGGTCCAGGGTGCTGCAGCCTGCATGCTAGGATCTCTACCCACCCCTCCCCCCCCCTGCAATGCTGCTGTATCTGGCATCATCGTATTTCTCATGTCCCCAGAACCTCAATCTGGCTAGGCCCTCTGAACTCCCACTGCCCCTGGGTGCAGCAGACTCCTGGTTTCCAGGCCTCCCTCTGCTTGGCTGCTTATCAGTTAGGTCTGATGTGTGATCCTGGCTGAAAGTTCTCTGCCTTCAAAAGCTGTGCAGCACCCACTGGGGCAGCTTGTGGGCCCTCAATTTTCCTCCTGAGAAGGACAGCATGTCTCCCCCTGAGCCCTGGAAGCATTTTGTTATTGTGTTCTGACTGTGATAACATGTTCTCTGCTCTGAGACATTTAGACGATGACTCCAACTAGCTGTGAGTACAGTGCTATTCCAAAATAGTGACAAGATGGGACACATTTCCAGGGCCAAAGCCTGGGGCAGGTGGCCTATGGGCCCAGTGGCATCTCCATAGCCATTTGGGCCCCAAGCTCCTATCTCGTTGTTCTGTCCTCCCAGCACATGGCTTCCCTCCTGTGGTCCAAGGTGCTACCCAGGCTCTATTCATCACATCTGATTTCCAGTCAGCAGAAAGGAAGGGTATCTGCACATGGAACTTCCACTGACCTCTCCCTTGTGAATTGTCACTTGGCCACACCAGCAGCAAGTATACTTGGGAAGTGAATTCTTCCTTCAGTGCTGACCCGGAAAGGAAGACTTGGATAGGTGGGAACCAGCACCTGCAATCTGTTGGAGCTCCTGACACCCCTTTCCTTCCTGACTTCCATCTCTTTCTCCAGACCTCCTCAATGGTGTCAATTTTAACGATTACAAACTTTTTCATACACATTTAAATTCCCAGCTCTTTTCAGCTCTTGGAGGATTCTGTACTCTGGTACTCTGCTCTTGTTTTTCAACTAGGTGCCACTTTTGATCTCTGAGAATGCTAATTCACAGTTTCTAACACTCTCTCCCATTCCTGGAGTGAGATTCTGTCCCTAGGCAGAGACTGTTGGTACCTCTGGCCGGCTTGGCGTACAGCAGGGCTCTTGCTGTTTCTCTGGGACCTGACACAGGTGGGCAGGAAGTCTGCAACCCGCCTAGCCCCCTGTCTCCGGCTTCTGTGCACTTGTTTATCTGCCCCTGACTGTTATTTTGTTGAGAAAATTCTGGTGTATTATGGTTTTGGGAAAAACATCCTCTGTGTCCTAGATCCCACATTTACTGGCAGCTGTTCCGGAACTGCTTGAGATCTTGAGAACCTGTTCACTCCTGTTCTTCACTTCAGGCACAAACTCCTCTCCCCATGCTTCCCTGTACTGAGCAGGCACTTAAGTGGGCCAGAGGGCAAGTCCTGCACAACCCTCATCCAGAGGAGAGAGCTGCCCTGTGACACCCTCTGAGTTGGCCTTCCCCAGCGCACTGATGCTGAGACCCGACTGCCCAACATCAGGGAGACCTGATGGCTTGTTAAAACAGATTTTGGTCACTCCCTGGGAGTTTGATTTATTACTGAGTCTCTGGGAAGGCCTGGTTCTGAAGGGTACTAACAGACCAAGCCTGGCTACTAGCCCCAAAAAAACAAGTAGAAAAAAATAGATGGTGCAGCCTGTTGTGGTCATGTGGCCATACAAGAAAATATATTTAAGTACTTTCTTTGGGATGTCAACCACAGCTTCAGGGTTAAGTAGGGAAGGATCAAAGGCAATAGTCTAGGGGGTTTGCATAGCTAGTAATGTTGGTCAGTCCCTGGTCTGTTTGATCTTTATCCCGTAACTTGTCCTGCAGTTTTGTGAGGGCCAAGGAAATGGTCAATACTGGTGAGGGGGGCAGTTTCTATTCCAGTCACATTATATTTATTTATCAGACTTGTCATCTTGAAATAAAAGATAAACTGAAGGAAAGAATAAAAGAAAATAATAGGTCAGAGACAAAATGGGAGTTAGGTCAGTGACTGGGGCCTCTTTCAGATTCAGTGGCCCTATGGTGGAGCCCAAGAATTTGCATTTTTAACTAAAAAGTTTCTAGGTGATGTTCCTGGAAGCCACACTCTGAGAACCACTGACTGATTTTTGCTCTGGACTACTGATTCCTTTATGAGTTTAATATATTGATCGACTTGGAACCGTCTCCAATGTTTTAGTGTGTGTTTAATACTCTTGGGTGTGAGAAGAGCCTAGAATCTCCAACTGCCTTCAGAGGTGGTTTTGACTAGCAGCAAATCTCCAGTTCCGACTATCTAGAGAATTCCAAGTAAACACTGATTGACTTCCCAGGAGGCTAATAAACGCCGAGAGGTTGCACCGGCCTCTCCTTCTCAGCCCGGCTCCGCCGCTCACTACGACAGGGGCTCCGGGATACCCCAAGAACCAGAACCCCGCAACTTCCTTAGTGACTTAAAGGAACACAAAAGGGATTAGAGCAGGCCCTTTAGGACCGAGGCTGGTGATCAAACCGGCGGAGCCACCTAAGGGGAGCGTTCTTTCCCGCAGGTGGAGCCGGGGCGGGAGGCCGAGGCCGCGCGTGGTGCCGCCCTCTCGTCCCGGGGGGCGTTCCCGGCCGCGGCGGCGAACCTAACGGGCTCGCGAGGCCGCCGGCTCCCCGCCCTCCCCCGGCCCTCCCCGGCTCCATCTTGCGCGCGAGCGGGTTGGGCTCCGACGCTGCTCCCGGTCAGGTGAGGAACTGGGCTCTCGCCTTTCGCCCTCTCTCCCGCCTGGGTCACCTCGCCCCCAGCCCGCTGGGGTGGCCGCCTTCCGGGAAGCGGTAGGGTCCCGTGGGTGCCCCGCGCCCCGGCGCAGGGGTGGCGACTCCAAACCCGGGCTGCAGGGCGGGGTCGCGCCGGGGTGGGGTGTACTCGGGAGGCCGGCAGGCCGGGTGTGCGGGAGGACCCGGGGATCTTGGTTGGTTGGTCCTTTGTGTCACTGGGCTCTGCGGGGATCCTAGAGCAGTGACGCCCTGCCCTCTGGCAGGTAGACCACCAGTGGAGAGGCTGAGGTCAGGGTGTCCCTGCTGAAGCCACCTTCTGGGAGGCCTGGTAGGAAAACCCAGGAGCGGCACTGAAAGCCAGATCTGGCCGGGGACTGACTAGACTTTCTGGTGACACAGCAAATTGAGGGAAACGGGAAATTTTGTACTTTGCCTAGTGAACTCTTGAGACAGAATTCAGAAACCTGAGATTTGTAGTCTGGGTTAGGCTTACGATTCTTGGGAACTATTCTACGAAACAGCATTCGAGATTTGATTCCTTTTCATTGAGACCAACAGCCAAAGTGCACGGATTGTCGCCCGCCCTCTGAGAAGACCCAAGAAAACCCAGGTGCAGAGGGAGGTGGGTGCTGTCCACTATAAAGGAAAAGAACCCACCGTCTTTAAACTCTGTAATTTGTCGGCTGATAACGAGCTAACTTGATTAATTTGTCTTAATTACATTATGTGTGTAAAGAGCTACTTGTCAGAAAGGCATTTCAAGCACTAGATAGGCAGAAGAGATAATTTTGGTTACTGTAAACTTAAGCCCACTTTTAATTCCCTCCTGTCGATGCAGAAGACCAGCCATCTTTCCACATTCTTTATCCAAATTACTGACTGATTTAAATGGTCCTTCCAGACCTAGAGGCAAGTTTTGGAAAATTGTATCTGATGTTGCCCAACTTCAGTCACCCTTCCTGTTTTTTTTTTTTTTTCTTCTTCTTCTTCATAAATTTGCAACAGCTGCCTCCTGTGTTCTGGGCTGCAGGCCAGCTTTGGGACTTCCATTGTAAGACCCACCCATTTACCAGCTGACTCACTGGGTGGAGATAGTTTGGAGAACCTAGAATGATTTTCTAGTTTACTAAAAGTGTTTAAGGATAGAGAATGTTAAAAGGAAAATAAAAGCTCTGGTTCACCAGTATTATTCACTTTGGTAAAGTTGTGTAATTTGTTGAGTCATCCTGGGATTTGTTTAGATTTTTACAAAAACTTTTTAAGTTTACCTTTTGAATAGATGATACTGCACAATGTTAAAAGAGACTGAAAGGACATTGAAAAATAAGTTTCCTTCTCCTTGAGCACTCCTCTCAAGAGGCAGTCACTGTTTTTTACTTCCTTGTGTATTGTTTCAGGGATATTCTATACGTACACAAGAAAATAAGTGTATTTCTTATACATATGGTTTCAGATTACCTATACAGTTTTTCACCTTGCTTTTTTTCCACTTTGGAGAGAGTTTTGGAGAGTTTCATATATGGGTTGAAAAGCTGCCTCCCCTCCCATTCCCCCACCACTAGAAGCGCTTTACCACTGACCTACACCCCCAGACCCCCACCGTTTTTTTTTCCCCCCGAATTTTGAGACAGGGTCTTACTGATTTGCTTAGGGCCTTGCTAAGTTTCTGGGACTGTCTTTAAACTTAGGATGTGTCTGCCTTAATCTCCCTAGTTACTGGGTTTACAGGCATGCACCACTGCACCTGGCCTTCCTCATTTTTGAGAACTGCATAACACTTCATTTAATAAATGTCCATAATCTATTTCACTTGTCCCTCATTGATGGCTGTTTACAGATTTTTTTAATTTGTTATTCATTTATTTTTTTGGGGGGGTAGTACTGGGAATTGAACATAGGGGTGCTCTACCACTGAGCTACATCCCCAGCCTTTTTTTTTTTTT